GAACAGCTTTAACGTGCTCCAAGTGCTCCTTTCTCGTATTACTGGCAATAAGAACATCATCGATATATGCATAAGAGTATGGGAGATCCTGGAGTACTTGATCAATAAAACATTGGAAAGACTGAGCTGCGTTCCTCAACCCAAACGGCATCCGAACAAACTCAAAAAGTCCAAATGGAGTTGTGATAGCTGTCTTTGGGATGTCTGACGGTTCCACCGGGATCTGATGGTATGCTCGAACCATGTCTAACTTAGTAAATATTGTAGTACCATGGAGTGAAACAGTAAAATCCTGTATATGAGGTATTGGATAACGATCTGTGACTGTAACTTTATTGAGAGCACAGTAATCCCCACAGGAACGCCAGTCTCATGATTTTATTGGGACCATATGAAGAGGAGATGCCCAACTGCTGGATGAAGGTCTAATTATCCCTAACTGCAGCATGTGTTGAAATTCATTTATAGCTGTCTTCAACTTGTCAGGTGAGAGCCTTCTAGGTGTTGAATAAACAGGTGGGCCGGTTGTTGATATATGGTTGGTGACCTGGTGTTTAATGTGGTGATGGAGATTGGGCTGCAGTACTGCTAAGAAGCCCTTGAGGAGTGACTGGAAATCATTGTGATCAGTGGGAGTGAGTAAAGTGAGACAGAGGGAGGTCTGAGTAGAAGGTTTCCCTTTTATCTCCATACAGGTGACCTTGTCAATTAGCTTATGGCGCCGCATATCCACCAGAAGGTCAAAATGTCTTAAGATGTCAGCTCCAATTATCGGGGTAGTTACATCAGCAACTAGAAAAACCCAACGAAAGTTTTGCAAAGACCCAAGTTGAGAGTTAATGACTGGGTACCATATGTAGCAATGGCTGCCCCATTAGCAGCTTGTAGGGTACGTTCCAGGCGACACCTCTTAGTGTGAGAAGCTAGGGGTAGAACACTCAATTTTGCTCCAGTATCAATAAGGAAGTGGAGTAGCATATTCGTATTAGCAATATAAAACAGGCGACTGGAATAATGGCCAGCAGCGCTCGTCGCCACTAGCGGCTGGCCGGGACGCTTCCCGCTCAAGAACAAGGTTCCCTGCATTTACGAGCTTGGTCACCATATTGTTCATGGTACCAACAGAGTTTAGATGAAGGATCTTGAAATGAGGTCCTCCTCGGGGAAGGATGACGATGGGGATGAGGAGATCGTCCATGCAATGGTGCTCTACTGGCACTCTTCACCAGATGAGTGAGACAAGCTACCTCTTCCCTTAGCTGTGCTACCTCCGTGGCCAAAGTACTCTTCTCAGTCATGCTATTAATGGGTGGTGGTGGCGTTGGAGAAGAAACCTCCATAACCTTGTCAGCCAAGAGAGCGAGTTCTGCTAGTGGCGTGTCTGCTTTAGCTAAAGCCAACACCATCCTGACACCACTAGGAAGTCTCTGCAGGAAGAGCTTCTTCAGGAATGCTGGAGCATCCTCAGCAGTTTGCCTGAGCTGTTGCTCCATCCAGCGGAGGAGTTGGGAAGGTTTGCGATGCCTGAGCTGTTCTCCCGTAAAGAGCTGCTGCAGCCTCCTTTGCTTAGAAGCAGCTGTCTTTTCAATAAGTGCTTCCTTCAGCTTATCATACTGGTCAGAGTCAGGGGCTTTGAGTACCAGATCACGTACTTCCACGGCTACCTCAGGCAAAAGAGAAGCTACCACATAATCGTATCTGGCCTTTTGAGATGTTATCTTGCGAGTCTGGAACTGAGCTTCCACTTGAGCAAACCAGATAAGAGGATCTGAAGGCCAATAAGGTGGCAGCTTGAGGGAGACTGATGCTAGAGCGTCGGGACTAGGTGAGGTTGCCATGTTCCCAGTCCGGGTCACCAATGTTGTGTGGTCGTAACAACAGTTATTAGCAAAACCGCGAAAGACTATAAAAAGGGAAGGAATAAGGGATTTAGAGAGAAAAGAGAAAGGAAGGAAGATTGGGAATAGTTCTTAAGAGAGATGAGGGAAAGAGAAGTTACAGAAATGATAACGATAATGATAACAAAAAACTCTGACAATAGAGGACTCACACTACTAAAATTCAGTTCTCTAAGAGTGCAGTGAGAGCAATGATGAGACAATTTGTTGAGTTGATACTTGATAGTAGAACAAGAAGACGACAAACGAACGAACAATTACACTGACTGATTAATGTGTGTGTATGTATATTAAATAGTTGTTGACCACGTGTAAACTCGTGGTTACTGTAATGAATAACAATGAGCTTATAACCACCACAAGTGCATACCCTTGCCACACTAACAATAGATTTATTATATTGATGATTGATGAAAGTTGTGGTTAATATTAAACTAATTAATTGTATAGGTGTGGTCTTAAGTGCCAACATGGCTACACATATACAGTTAGGCCCTCAAAAGCTTCAAGTTTTTCAAGTTGTAAAAGCTCTTGTAATACATATAGCAGGCACTAATAGTTGCTTACAGATTTCTTTCTACTCTAAGCCAGTTTCAGCATACTGATTACCTTCTCTACTGAGATGTAAGAGGCCGTATTAGACATAGTACAAAATTTACACTGTCATATCATACCAAAGTAAGGGAAGTAAGTAAATCCCCTCATAACTTTTGTGTGAAATGATGCCACCTTTGTTATGGTGTCACAACAAACTTTGCCACTGCTGTAACATAAAAGTTACCCAATTGAGTGCTCCTTAGTTCCACTTCGCCAGATTTTGCAACCTTAAAAAGATAGTAGAAAGCTCATAAAATAAAAGAAAACAGTGTTATAAAGGCAAAAATACTAGTTTTAAGTCTCTGGAGTTTTTATCCTGAGAGCAGGAGCCTTTTGTTCAGACTAGTTGCTTACACAAACACTGACACATCGAGTAATATATCCTTGCCCACACGCCTACCCATGGCAAGGGTAATTATTTTAGTACAGTCTGATAAGAATGATAACGTAAAGATGACTCGCACACCCTCCTTATAATTGACGCAGACGGAGGGGCATCTAGGAATGTTCCAGAGGAACTATCATTGAAGTTGTTTCTCATACTTCAATATGAAAAAAACAAAGGTATATAATGCTGTTACTAAGTGAGCAAATTAAGTAGTATTACCAGCTCATTTGCTATGCTTACTTTTTGCTATACTACCGTTGCCAGCCATGTTAAATTTCAATTGTAAGTATACGGTAACATACTGAAACATTAAAGTCCATGACTGCTGATTTCTGACAATATGCCAAGAGCATGCTGATACACCTACTCATATTATTCAAATTTAAAAAATAGACATCTACAATCTAGTCTAAAGGAGAAATTTCAAGTTTGAAGGCAGTCGTTGTGTTATAAGGCAAGGAATAATGCTAGCTATAAACTAATTAGCAAGTATGACAGTACTTTTTGGCTTCCCTCAGTTTACACAAAAGCCGGCCATGTTTTTGTACATATGTGTTCCAATAAACAAATGCTGAGATATTCAATGAACCTTGAATGCCCTATTAAGTTACTTTGAGGTCATTAAACAAACATTACATTTTAATTTTTTCCTTTTAGATAATGTCCAGACCAGTGAGAACATTGATGTCCACTCCAACTCCTGAGGAAGAGGGTTTAAAACAGAGCTTAGAGCCATTCAATAATTCTGTTATTTTACAAGTCATTGATGTTATGTATAATTGTGAAGATTTTGTTACAGCAGAAAACATAACAAGCACCGAGGGGGGAGTCTCTGTATGTGACGATACTCAACATAAAACCTTAATTGCAGAGTACAAGGGTAAGGTGCTGACGTAGGAAGAAGTTAAAGGAAGGAAAGTTGATATGGGGTTGTGAAGCAAGACAGGTTCTTTCTTCTTGATGTCAGTACAAAAGCAGCGAAACCAATCTTTGAATAAATGAAGTGGCTACCCAACCGGTACTGGTTCCCTTTCCATATAAACAACCAGTTCCAGTTGTTAAAGGGTTATAAATAGAAAGCTGGTTAATGACCACACCTCCTGTGACAAAAAATATTAAACTGTTATTAATAATGTAAATAAAGTGTTTATACAATGATTATACATCACAAAACATTACTATAATGATAATTGTTATTTGTGGCAGTCTTTACGGAACCAGTAGTTATCTTTGGGACTTTGTCTAAGACCAACACACTTCTTGTGATATGCCATAAGGCAACTATCACATAAAATAGCTTCAGGACACTCATCTAGATTATGGCAAAATTTGCAAATGCGATCACATTTTTCTTTTTTCCACCAAAATCTTGTACTGGAACCAATACGTCATTGGTGAAATAAAGACAAACAAGATTAATGTCGACACTTTCATCCAATACAGAATCAGGTAACTTTTCAGGTACTACTTCAACACTTGCTTTCACAATTTAATTTTTGAGATTTTTTAAAACCGCTAAAACTTTCTCTGTGTCAACAAACTATCCCAATATAGCTACAATATTTTAATGACATTGTCACTAATGCATGTAAATTTACCTTCTTTTAATGATGCATGTACTGTAACAAATGGAATAACTTTGTCACATTTATTTTTCTTGGGTAAGCCAATGACAGTGTTCTAATGCGTAAGCCAATGACAGTGTTCTAATGCTCTTTACTCTTCCTCTTCTGAATAATAGCAGAAAGAGTTATATCTACATTTTGTAGACAAAAAAAGCAGCTATACTTTTTACCTTAAAAGTCAATTGCCACTCCTTCTCAATCCTTGAATCTAATTCTGGAATGGAGATGTCAGGAATTTTATAATTGAGAGCAACAAAGCGAGAAAATGGTTTGGTTAATCCCTAAAAGAACACTGAAACCCAAATTTTAAAATGTATATAATACATCAATGTTTTAATGCTGCAGCAGTTACTCTGTTTTTTAGTATTAATAGTTAGCTAGGTTAATGATCTCTAAACAAACACAATAAAAACCAAGTTTTAACAATGTTTGCATGCATGTTTTAAATATGTAGCAGTTTTTCTATTTGGAGTTGTAGTAATAGTTGTTGTTTGTGCATCTTTACAAGCAATCAAATTTTTACATAAAAGGCAATGCTTACCTGTGATAGGGTTTGCTGATGTTATTAGTGGTTGGCTACTGCTAGTACTAGCATTTAATATATGTAAAGTTAATAAAAATAGTATCACAAAACTACCTTTTGATGAACAGAAGGATCTTCCATTATGATATCATAATCATTTATTAGACTACTATCATCTTTCTGCATACGACCTAGTACCGTAAAGCAGGAAATTTTGGCTGTATAAAAATTTGGTAAAAATGCCCAAAAATTAGATTTGGTGGTTAAATTTTGGCGATTAAATTTATGTTAACGATTATACCAGGCCCTTTTCCATTTATTATTGATTAATTATTAATGAATAACTAATTATTATTCATACAAATTACAAAATGGAAACCCACATGGTTGAAAGTCTCGTTCATGGATACCACATTTACAAAGACATTTAGTCTCCATTTGTCAAAGAGAAACTTAAATGTGACTCTAAGTTGAATAATTTGTGACCCCTTCGCTGTAGCTGTTCTAAAGGATAATACCATTGTTGGTCTTGTTCCTCAAATTTTCTGCAATCTGTACTTTATTTATTACAGAAATGGACTAGTTTTATGTGAAGTCACTGGAAAATGAAAGTATACCAAGAATCTTTCTCCAGGAGGATTAGAGATTCCCTGCAACTACACTTTCCATGGCACTGTTGTTGATGTTCAGAACCTGAAAATGTTTTGGCCATAAGAAATTACAGTAGTTGATACTAAACACTTGACTCAACAAGACACAAATAACAGTAGTACCAATACCAGTAATATCTTTAAGTCTCATACGAAGGAGAATATTGACGATAATGATGAGTGTATCACAATAAAAGAGGTGTGGTTAGAGAGTAATTCAAAGCGACTTGCGTTGAGCTACAGAGATATTATTATTGGCGTAGGACAATTAAAAGACAACGTAGTTGATTTTTCTGTAGTTATACAAATGAATCAATTCAGTAACCTTCGAATACAGTCATGTAAATCAACTCTTATTCAGCAGTCGAGCAATCTTTGTCTATTTGCCCCAAATGAAAAAATAATTGAGATAGTCTTTTGTAAAGAGCGCAAACATTGGATTGCAGCTAAAACTATTGATATTGACTGTTCGTCCATTATTCGTGATAAGCAAGTTTTAGTTTAGGATACAATATTTATATCTTTGGATAAAGATAGTACCAATGTGATACAAAAGCTTTTTGAACATGATGTTAAAATTGTAGTGCCTTGTGTTCAAAAGCAAGTCGGTTCCAATGATTGTGGCCTGTTTGCTATCACAATTTCCGTGGCATTAATGCTTAATGTTCCACCATCCAAGAAGGAATGCAACTAGTACTTTATGAGAAGCCATCTCATTTCCTGCTTAGAAAATGGCACTTTTACAATGTTTTCATAAAATAATAGGTTACAACTTGCTTATGTCAAGTAATTATTGCTGTTACTGTTCTTGTTACAACTGTTATTTCTCTTTAAGTACAATTCCCTAACTTATTTCCATTGTAACCATTCTCTCACTTCTGTTATTATTATTAAAATCATAACAATAACTAAGTTGATGAAAAACATTTTCACTACTAATAAACAGTTGATTGATAAATGCTCAGTAATGATAATTAGTTTAGATTGAACTACATACTTATATAGTGTCAAGAATTCCGACATTTTAAAAGCCATGAGTAACTGTCAAGTTTTTGCTGCCTTACTCCATGAAAACATTATCCATGATGCACTTGGTGTCTTAATTGTGGACAATTTTAGATCAACTTGAATTGTGACAATAATGACACCATGCAGGA